CCTTTTAAAACTTGCTAAGGAGCCAAATAGAATAGACTTGGGCGAATTGAGTTGATGAAGTTCAAGTTTTTATTCACTTATTTGACTAACTTGTTGGCAATTTGTGGAATTGTTTAAGCATACGCTTCTCAAGGGATCTTTGATAATGTCCACTCATTTTATATCTGTTGTTCCTTGGAATTATTCATCCTGGTTTTCTTGCTTACTACTCAGGTTTCTGATTTGGCTTGTTACAGTACAATATTTGGGAATATATTTTTAAAGATAGCACAGGTAAAGGACATGTATAGTTTTAGTTAATGCTTGGATGCAATGATGTCCACAAGATTAGTCTAGCAAGTAGCAACCATAGAATCATAAAGAAATGCCATATAAAATAGAATTTTCACATGCAAGAAGTATGCTTGATAGAAGGGCTGTATGTAGATTGACCAACTCTCTCCCTCATGCTGCTGTATGAAGATCCTTGATTCGATGGTTTCCATCAGTAGTCAGAATCTTTCACTTTCTATGGCTTTGGAAGTTTATTTTCTTTTTCTTTGGTCTTGATGTGGGAAGTTCTGAAAATACTGGTGGTTAGCTTTTCTCTTACATTGCGATAAATCTGTACTGTGTTTAATTTGTTTATGGATCGTTGAATTAGATGCAAAAAATGAATTACCCTTTGGTTTGTCTCAATACCTAAAAGGTCGTTCCCTAAGACAAAATTCAATATCTGAAAGAGGACCTTTAATCCAAACATGCTCTCTGCTGGTGCTTAACATCGTCCTATATTTTTCTTCAGCATTTGATTTTGAAAAGTGCCCATTCGCACATTGATATTGGGAGAGGAAATGCCTTCCAAACATCTGGTTCGCTCAACAAAAATTTTAACTCTATATATGAATCAATTTTGTCAATAAAGCTATGAACTCAGGGTATTGTCTCCTTCGCCCCTTCGACCTACGCTCTGTGGGTTGATGAAGAGTAGAATTTTGTGAAATAAACAAATAAATTGTTTTCTTGTAGCTACATCAAGTATTGTGGTAATTTGTTTCGTGATTGATATAGTGTATTGATTCTGCCATTAGGCTGGTATGTCACAGGGGCTTTTTCGTTACCTAGCTCCCGCGGCCTGACTTCCAAGCGTGCAATACTTGGATGCCAAGTTAAGACTCTCTTAGTGCCACCACATAGCAGAAAAGCATACTTACAAGGGTAAAGTGCTGCCCATCCATGGTTGTGCAGTGCAGTGTCGGCCTCTGGTCGCGTATTGCCTTCTCTTGGCTACGTGCCACTTCCTTGGTCGTGCACCACGGTCCTATGCCTGCCGTCTACATTCCATCTGTCACTCTAAGGTTCCCTTTGGGATCCAAGATGGTCAGACCCTCAGCTTCCTCTTCACTTGTCCGCCCTGTCCGTACCCTTGTACCAAGCTCTCTGTCATAATTTCAAAAAGCGGACCGCCCAGCGCTTAGGCGGCTGCCTAGGCAGATATCCCAGGGCTTGTGCCCACCCAGGAGCAGAAATGTGGCTCCTTGAGGTATTTTTGGGTCATTTTTTTAATACTAATGGGGAAAAATTGTGGGTTTTATGTTCATTTGAACTCTAAAACCCATTAGAGCTATTTTAGAGAGAGAACCTAAAAAATAAAAAATTCTACTGGATCGCCCAGGTTTTGGGCGCCCGCCTAGGCGTTCGGCGGCTTGGACCCCCCTACCGCCTAGGTGCCGCCTAGCGCTTTTTGAAACACTGCTCTTTGCACATGGCTGCCTGCACACACATCACATGGGTCACATGAGGCTTACAGAGAAAATGGGTCTGACAAGTCTCCACCACCCCAAACTCCGACGTCCTCGTTAGATGCTTGGCCTTTGCTGGGTCCCCATAAACTTCAGTTCCAACCAACACCCATTTTAGCCACTAAGCCTCCCCATCATGCCACACAGTCGATCCTCGTGCAACCACCATGCGCCTGAGTGAGTGGTCAGCTCTCCCACCACCACGTCCCACTTGCCGCCTGCATGGCTGTACCTCATGCCACCACCGCATCTAGATTTAATGGCTAGGTCTACCGATGCCACCATCACCAATGTTGTTTCCTGCAGATGTCGTCCAACTGCTCCTCTTGGGTCTTGACATGAGCCTCGCGCGATACCTGCAATGCAAGTAACTTCTACTAGGTCGAGGTGGTCTAACTAGGTTTTGTAGGAACTCTTAATAACAAATTGGGCTGGGCTTGAAGGCATTGAATCCTCCTATGGCTGGATCCAAGTCCCCACATGTTCCCTTCCTTATTTACTTAATTATAAAGATACGCTTTTAAAGATTCTATAGAAAAAAATAAATTTTAAAACTTCTGAATTTTTTATAAAATTCCCAATAATATTTCTTATAATAAAAATAAGATATTCAAATGTGGAATGGTACTAATGAGTCAAACTAAGGGACGGTAATGACATTCCACCTGACCTAGTAACCACGATCGGCAACTGTCTTCTCAAACCAACCCAACAAAGACCCATAACCCACAATCTTATGCAAGGGCTCATGATTGACTTGTCAAAGTTGGCCAATAAACAGTGGTACTGTACTCTCGAAATGTGGATTTCAGTTTCTCCTTTTAAGAGCAGGTCTAGTACGTGTCACTTTAGTATAAAGGTGGCTCTCTATGCACATGCACACGTATCTCTAGAGGGTTTTATCTCGGTAATGTGGTTGTCATGTGTACATTCCATGTGGAAGTTTGTTGAGGCTTTGGCCCTCACTCTCACAAGCTTACAACTGCACACACATAGTTCTCCTAGCCTACAAATATCCTTCCTGGCATCTCTCTGACCTCGACAAGGGAAAACCCACTGTGAAACCTTCTTAGTAGTGCCACATGTCCAAGGGTAAAGTTTTTGGACATAACTAGGGTCATTAACCACCAAAAATGTAGGGCATGATCCTTTATAAATATCATTTTTACAAGTCTCCAGGCCTTAAAAGGCCACAAATTCCAATAGACAATGCACACAATAACTTCTCAATCAACTATAGGGAGAACATGCTTTTGTTTAAAAGCCGGTGCACAAAGCTCTTTCCACTATACGCACGATAAAACCCCAAAACAAGTCATTCACAACTGCTGCAACAAACCTTGCAGAATTTCACACTTGTTACGCTCGACTTCTTACATTCGAGGAACCTTTCAATGGCATGAACATGCACAACATACATAGGCCACCATGTTGGCCTCACACACATAACAAGGAATATTTCTTGACGAAATCAGTACTAACAGAATTAGGTTTTTCTCTCTTTCTTTTGTTTTTTTGAAAAGAAAAATGTAGCTATTTCCTTAAAGAAGAGAGAAGAAGAAAATAAGCAGATCAGTGCTTTGATACCATTTGAAGATTACATGAACAGTATTGTGAACAATACCATGAGCAGTAAAAAGTGTCATAACTAGAGAGAGGGTAAAGAAGAGGAAAATAAAGAAAGAAGAGAGAAATGATGAAAGCGTAGAGGGGAGAGAGTGACATGAGATTCAGCCACCCTATGGCCCACTAGTATCTTTTTTAAATGTTTGTTTAGGGTCTACAAAGGATAAAAATACCCTCAATGAAAATAAGTATCCCAAAGTATATAAAAGTAGCAGAAATTCCCCAATACACGAAATAAGTTATTCTTTAATAACCCAATCTATAAGTTCTGCCATCCATTGGTCCTCACTCTGTTTTATTTTGACTTTATTCTATATCCTGTCATATTTAATTCATGTTATTATCTTATTGCTTAGTGATAACAATACTAAGTCACAGACTTTGTATGTCCCATCAGGCAAAACTTTTTACGATGTTGGTACTGGTTGTCCTCCACCACTGAGTTTAATTTTAAGTCGACATTTCTCTTGCAGATTGAGTAATTTCTATACAATGTGGCTCATGTGTGCATCCATGGAACATCTTTTCGATGAGCTCTTACCTTGTATACTTTTGCGCATGATAATTTCAAATACCTTCAAGGATTTAATTGTTAGGATGACACTACTTACTTTTTCTGTTGGAATTGGAGATAAGATAGTTTGTGTTTAGGTGAACGTGAGAATCCTCGTTCAATTATCCATGGGATTAGTGAAATGGTTTTTTTAATATCCGTGCATCACAAAAGTTAGCTAGTTTTACATTGGCTCCCTTTGTCATGCACTTGTCCATTGGCACCACTTGTACATATGGTTTGCTTTCGCCAGTGAAACTCTTTTATACATATCATTTATGTTCAATATGCTACAAATGCAATGCTTATTGTTTTCAGTTATTGATTTACCCTCTTAATAAATATGAAATAATTGCATAATTGTTCACCTCTTGCTCCTTGTCCTTCACCTTTAGGAAACTGCTTTGTGGAGGTTCAACACACTTATCATAGCCAGTTCCAAACCCAGAGCTCAGTAGCACACTGTTTCCAAAATAAATTCCCCAACAAGTTCCTTGACAAAGTAGGAGGGCATTCTTCCCTACCATTACATAGGTCTCTTGGCTAGAGAGGAACAGATTCAGCAAAAGAGAAAGATGACATTAATCTAATAAGCTTTACTGAGAGTGATTATATGGAAAATCTGAAGTTGCATCCCAGACACCCACATACCTCCTTCAAGGAGATGAGCTTTTATTTACATGAGACGGGCATTGTCCACCTCACACCAAGAGCAATGATGATGTAATTTTATGAGAGATGTACCGAGAACACCTGTACGTTGTTGAGCTCGTGTAGATCCCTTTTTAATTCAGTGTTATATATATATATATATATATATATACATATATATATATATATATCTTTACATCTTTCACATTAATGCAATGAGTTGGGTGCCCATTCAAGCCACTCGCGAACTAGCAAAAAGTAATGCTATTAATTATACATACTTAGAAAAACTATAATTGTATATATTCAGCATCTTATGTCTTTTGTCCAACTTTACTATGCTTTTGTGATAATTGGTATTCTGATTATGTATTAGATTGTTGGTGCAGACAGAAAGTGAGATGGAAGTCAAAAGATTGATTGATGATCTGGGACTTCGTGAAAAGCAACAATTTGTATGGTCCTACTCATAAGTACTGAGCATTGTAACTGTGCTAATATTATGTCAAATAATTGTTATATTTTTATTATTGTAGCTCAATTGGATGTTTGCTTGATATTGTTATTTTCTGCCATGCATAGCTAGATAATGTAGTTTTAACTAGTTGTGCAGGACCATTCTTATTTCTTTTTCTGGTTCAAACCTTGATTTGTGGATTTATTATATATGATTTTAAAGTTGTGATACTGTTGCTTTGATTTTAGAACTAATTGGTTTTTAGGAACAAAAACTCTTCATACCAGTATGGTCTTCTAAAGCAGTCACTTGACATGGAATCTTGATTTAGGAAAGGCATGGAAGAGTGAACATGGCTGGATAATACATCTTGATTATACAGTTCTTGTTGATGACACCTTTATTAGTATCGCTGTAGTGAATGAGAACTAAATTTGTGAAAGAGGAAATTGTGTTGGTGACATGCAAGAACTCTATAAAAGGATAACATCTTATTCTAATTGCAGTGATGCAACATTCATGATAGATGTTCTAGTGGGAATTGGCCTGCCTTTTTTGAATGGGATTGCAGAAGTGAAAAAGCAATCATGGAGAACCTGATTCTTGGGAATATGCCAATCAAAGTTGATGAAGAAGCTGTACCTCTCCTAATCTTAGATGCCTGGATATGGATATGGATATGGATATGTATGGGCAGTCAGGATATGCCTTGGTGTCGCATATGATCCATGTCAAGGATACAGCTACCGGTAAAGTATCCAACACATTATTGCATGTATAATATATAGCCTAGGTTACAACAACGCAAGTGTTGTGTGTATTTAGGAGAATCCAACACCCAAGTGCATGAGACACTCATGATGACACACATACAAACACAGGAAATTTGTGTCGACATGCATATTTGGAAATTTTTATTTTTTTTGTTTTTGTTTATTTGGATTCATGAATATACATGTATGGTGTGTTGATGTGTACACCACATAAATGGGAAATCCATGTTCAAGAAAAATCAGTTGAAGCAAAAGGAAGGGGCTCATGTCGTCTTAAATGTTAGTTCTTATAACCCCAACATTTCTACTAGTCCGTGGGAGACGAAGAAACAATTGTAGGGGGACAAAGTTCTAGAATCAACCTTGAAATGTAGAGCCTTTGTAACAAGTTTTAGGTGGTGAAAACCTGGAAATGATCAGCCTTTGTAACAAGTTTAGGTGAGGAAATGTGGGTACAAAAGGACCAAAGCATGCCTCAATTTCTGTTGTGAAAAGGAGAAACTAAAATGCTCCCATTGTGGGTAGATGAGACCCGCTCGATAGCACTTTTTGGATTTGCATCCACACTTTAGACCCAAAAGCAAAGGAGTTCAAGTGTCAATAGGATATTGATTGAGAGGAGAAACATAAGTTGCACAGCCCAATGTATTAGATCCAAGAACCATGTTATCGAGGAATTTTAGCACCAGTTGGATGCTCTCAGGGCTGCCTTCGCTCTAAGACACTAGTGGAGCAGCTAGGTATGCATGCATCTGTGAACCATGTCCTCTAATCTACCTTTTTTGCACCCTAGATCATTGATTTTGGGTCTGTTGATCATACAACTGGAAGAAGTTGCTTTTCTGTTCTTTTATCCTATTTCTTGTGAACTAGTGAAGTTAAACTTGCTATTGAATCCATGACCGTTGCCTTTGGGAGTGGAACACATAAGTTTTCATCAACCTTGAAAGGTGGCAATGTTGAACAATCACTGTGTATAAATTCAAAAATTTCTTTTATTAATACTGGCATGCCTACTTACAATAGCAAGTTACAATGCAAAGAGTATGAAAAATAAACCCTACTACCGTGAAAAATAAACCCTAGTACATTTTAAGGACCCGCTCTGCCTTAGGATCGCCTCTAAAGGACTTGTGTACACCCCACTCTGAATCACTAAACTGATGGTGCATTGAGCTCATGGTCCCTGCTGAATCCTCTTCAAGATGGAAAGTTCTATGGCAAAACCCAAATTTTATTGGGGTAGAGAGCATAACGGCATGCCTATTATGCAACATTTAGTCATGTGGTGAAGTGGGCATGATTATAGTTATTTAGTCAATTATAGGTTATTGTATGTTTATGGGTAGCAACTTGGTATCCTGGTGTAGCAAGATACAAACACAACTAGCAAGTCAAGACGGAGGTTGAATATAAGGCAAGGGTAGTACTCCCTTTTGAAATATGGATAAGGAGCCTTGCTTGGATTCTTGGTTTCAAATTGTGCAGTAGCATACTATGCTGTTATAATTTAAGTGCACTAGCCATCTCCATCAATCCAATGCTTCATAAAGAGACCAAACATATGCAAATGGATCAACCCTTTGTGAGAGAGTAAATTAACAATAGAGAAATAATCATGAAGTTTCTTGGGACCAACAAATACATGGCATAGGTGGCAGACAGTTTGTTTTGAAGGTGTTGACCATGAAGAGACATGGATTTCTAAAAGGAAAGCTTTCCATGATTATTGCCTATGTGCAGGTTCATCATCATCATCATCCTCATTGCCTTTTTTCAACTATTTGGGGTGGGGCTAGACGAATCCTTGTCTGCCATTCTATTTTATCAAGGGCCATACCCTTTGTGAGGCCATAAGTCCCCATATAGCTTCTCACTACTGCCAACCATGTCCTTTTGGGCTTACCTCTTGCCTTTTTTGAGCCTTCCATTTCAACTTACTACCTCCTAACAGGTACTGTATTGGGTCTACGCTGCACATGACTAACCCACCTTAGTCTACTTTCTCTCATCTTATCGCCTATTGGTGCCAAACCTAAGTTCATTCGAATGGTATTTATTTCGAATTGTATCCCTTCTTATTTTACCCCTCATCCATCTCAACGTCTTCATCTTAGCTACACTCATCGTATGGGCATGTTGCTTCTTGACCGCCCAACATTTTGCCCAATAAAGCTATCTTGGTTTCACAGCTGTCTTATAGAACTTGCCCTTCAGCTTCATTGGTATGTCGTGATCACATAATACTCCGGTTGCATGTCTCCACTTACGCCCAATTGGCTTTAATTATATGTGCAAAATTTTCTTCAATCTCTCAATTTTCATGAATTATCGACTCTTGTGTGCATGTATGTAGTCCAAAACCTAAGTGTATTGGACTATCTGTTTTCAATTCACCTACTCTCCTTAACTTGTGCATAACTTCTCTTCTTCTTTCCATTTGAATACTTTCCATATGTCATGATGCATGATTTATGTTTTGCTTTATGTTCTATTTTTCTATTTGTATGATTTTAAATATACAAGCATTGAAGGAGTATCATATATTCGGGTTGTATCAGGTCAATACTGGTATGCTGAGAGTAGAGAAATCTCTAAGTTATTTTAGCTCCCAATCACTTTCCAAACCACAAGATCCTGCACAATTCAGCATTTTCAGAGGCGCATCAGGCATAAGATATGTTTTGGAATGAGATATTATTTACAACTTTAAGGGCTGATCTTTGGTAGAAGAAACATATCAGATAAAATTAACTTCCAATGGTGAATCATCAGTGAGCAGTGAACAGATTGTTTGCAAATCTGGTCATATTGACTGCAGCTCTTATAGTCCACTATCAGATTACTGGAAGATTCAGACTGATTACTGGGAAACTAGCTATTGATAGTGCTTGGATAGTTGTTTAAGCATTTAACGGTCATGGAAGAAAATACTGACTTGCAATAAATGGAGAAGAGAGCTGTTACCAAATCCTCTGTTAACACTTAGGTCCTGATTAAAGGGTTATGCACTTTACTGAAACCTCTCATGGGCTCAGTTCCTCTAGCCTAAGGCCTCTTCTTACAGAACCAATCACAAGTCCATGTCTCTTAGTTCCAAAAGAGTGAGAGATGACATGTTCATCTCCTTGCTCTGCACAATTGGTCTTACTGTAGTTGAGGTCCAGGCAAAGTGTTTTTCGGTGCAGATACATCTAAACACCTTGCATTGTCCTTAAGATTATTTAAGTATAGTTTCCTCTGCAAGACTAATAAGGTGTCAATTGATAATGGGAAAGTGCTAAAATGAAAAATAGAAGCTTGGATGTTTTCAAACTCATAGTCAATCCCAGAAGGCAGTGAAGTAATCAAGACTAGCCCCTTGACTTGATAAGAATTTCCATAGTTGCTACTGGGATTGAAGGTTCCATTGAGGACATCTCATTCTAAACCAATGAAGGAAATGGAGTGGATTAAATTCACTAGTGTATAGAGTATGTTTAGAAAAGCATTGGGGGGCACTAGTTCTCTCACCTCTTTAGATGTTGAGTCTAAATTGCTTATCTTGCCAATACTATTGCGTTGCTTGCTCAGTTCTTGAGTGGGTCCCTTGATATGCTAGGATTGCCCAAATTCATTTTTATTTTTATTTACAATTTACTAATGTATTGTCATGCATGAAATTTCCTATCACTCTGACAGTCTGATTAGATCAGAGTTTCGGAGATGCTAGATTGATTTACAAAACTGGCAGTTATACAAAGAAGTCCACCCTATGTAGTTCCCCGTGGCTAGTGTGTCAGCTAAGCTATTTGTTTCTCTCCAAGTATGCAAAAAATTTGCCTCTATGCATGTACTTCTATCCCATATTTCATCAAATATTGACCATGCTTCATGGACCTTTGAATCATCTTTTTTCCAAGCTATAAGATTAGTGAGTCCCCTTCAAAGATGATTGAATAAAATTTGGTTTTAGGAGGCGAACTCTGAAAAGGAGGGTGATGGCCTTTGCCTCGTTTGAATCAATAGCACTAGCAGGGCCGAAGAATGTATTCAGAGCCTCAGCGTTATGATCTCAAAACACCCTTCCCACTTGTGAGGGACCACTGTTTTTCAAGAATTACCATCGAGTTAATGGTACTTTCAGGTGGAGCTTTCCAAGCACCTGATCTGTCATCTCTTACTTTGTATGTCTGTGCCATTGATTTCCTTTGTGTGAAGAAATTTGTGATCACCCACCCCAAAATTCTCTTTAAACAAGTGTCCATGAAATATTTGGGCCCTGAGTTTCTCCATCATACTGAAAGCCCTTGTAAATGAGCTCTTTAAAGGTCTTCTTGTTCCTTTTGGTCCAAATAGCCCAACAGCCATGCAAAGCGTGAAAACCTCTCAAAGGAATCTAAGGTAAACCATCAACACTGCTCAGTCCATGTAAGCCTGAATGACTTCAAGGAAAGGACCATATATCTCTTGCTATGCTGCAATGCTAGAGGAGATGGCTGATAGTTTTTTCGCTTTCCCTGCACGTGTTGCATCTGTTAGGTATTTGCAAGCCTCGGTGCTGCAAGTGGTGAATGGTAAGGACTTACCCTAGATGGACAACTTCCTGAGAGCTTGCATTCTAGACGATGCCTTAAGGCTCCATTCTTTGGGGTGCTTTGGGATGTAGATTAGTTTCTTTCAACTTATCATAGATTGACTTGACTGTAAATTCACCCCTTCTATTCAACTCCAGGTTATCCCCAGACCTGCCATAGCTTTTCTTTCACATGAGTCCCATTTGAGCAAACAAAATTTGTGCTGGCTTGCTGGACCGCTTATATGGAACTTTCACTTCATTCGATCTATTTTATGAATCACCACCACTGGCATCTTAAATAAATTTAGGCCTGTTAGACATTAGTGGACAACTCAGGTATCATACAGGTAATATCTATGACTATGCTTGTGGTGGGTCTGTCTATGGAGTCATATTACGTTCTGTTTATGTTATATTAGGTTGTGTTTATGTTTCTTTGAACATTTTCCTTTTCTACTTAAGATTTGTCCCTCAATTATGTAAAAAGGAAATTGTTACTATTGTAGTGCAACATAACATAGGTATTGAATTTAGATACACATTTAGAGTTTCAATGATCAAGTAGTTCCTTAAAGATTGATATTCCAAAAGTGATGAAGACTGGATGCAACAATATGCATGATAAGGATTTGTATTGAACTCTTTTAATAGCAAAGTTTGGGATGTTGGATCCATAGGGTGCGGAGGACACTGTATGCAAAGTTACAATTTAATAAGGCATAATAACTGCAGTGCTGTCCCTTTCTCTGAAAAAGGAGAAAAAAGAAAGAAAAAGAAAAAAGGAAAAGAAAGAAAAAACACTTTTGCTGTCAAGGACATATAACTGCAGAGTTCCTGATAAATGACAGCCATGTGTCATGAGGCTGCTTTGATGGACAACGAAAATTTTAACTGATTTGTGTCTGAGATACAAAACCCCTTGGAAGTTGTATCCTGTATGGAATTATGGAATTTGTAAGCTATAACAATATCAGGGGGAAGAGGCTCTCAGTTGCTCTCAATTATCTTGGCAGCAAGGATTGATGTCATTTGCACTGCTTGGCATTTAGCTGGGGCCATGTACTTGCTGTCTACCTTCTTGTTGTTAGGCCTCGTTTTGCATTTTGAACGGTTTGGTTATGGATTTTTTTTCCTATTTTTTTTCCGTATGACTAACCTGGCAATTTACAATACATTGAGGTTTCATTTTGAAGTACTAATTATTCATAAAATTTTCTTATTCTTATTGTCCTTTATATCTAATTTTGTATTTAATCGCTAAACATTCTATCTTTCATTTTGCCAACAGGGGTGTGAGAAATTTAAGGAATATCATTGTGTATATTTTTTTTGAACTTTTTTCTTGGGGATTTTTGAATAAATTCCTTATCTATGCTTGCGGTCTGCTTTCTATTTTATTGTTATGGGTTTTAGTATCCTCTAACAATTTTCTGGTAATCTAACCCAATTGTCATGTACAGCCCATTTCACAGAACAAAAGGTTCATTGCAAGAAATGGAACACCTGTATTGGTAAGTTTTATATTGACTGGTATTTGGTTCTGATTTGGTGTCATTCTTTTTTGTTCTAATTTAGTTTTCCATGTTGTCCTTGATGATTAGCTTGTGAGCAAATTGTTAATGCATTGTTGGAAAGCATGGGAAATAATTTGTGTCTTACATACAATTTTCATGTCTTCCTTTGCTTGTACAACAGATTCCATCAAATCCTCTTGCGCTGTTTGGGAGCAAGCTCCTTTCTCCACATTCCAAGGTTGGTCAGGTGTATTTAAAGATTAATATATGAATTGTATGTGTAGCAACTATTGTGGGCTCATGCAACTGTTATGGGCTCTTGCCCATTAAAATCTATGTAATTCTAGGAAATCATCTCATTTTCTTTTACCAATAGGTAAGTTTTCATCCCAAACTCCTTTCTTTTTCAGCAACATTACATTCCCAGCAACCTCATATTTCTTGCAAACTCACATTTCCAGCATCATATTGCCAGCAACCTCATATTTCCAGCAATCTCACAGTTTCAGCAACCTCACAGTAATGCCAATCTCCTTTTTTTTTAGCAACCTCATATTTCCGGCAAATCGTATTTCAAACAACCTCATATTTCCAGCAATCTCATATTTCCAAAAACCTCACATTTGAACTAAGGAATTAGTACCTTGAAAAAAAAACAAAAAAAGGGCCTTAAGGTTTCTAGTTCGAGAAAGAAGGAAAATCTCAGAAATTAAACACAATAGTTCCATTGGAAGCAGTCAATATGACCACCCAGGATTAATGATTACTACAGTTAAGCTAGATGGGAAAAACTTCTTAGAAGGGTCCTATTCGGCCAAAATGTTCCTAGGAAACTGGAGGATGGGTTATATCACAGGAAATGTGAGAGAGCTTCCCACAAATGATCCATCCCATGATGAATGCGAAAGTGAGAACTTGGCAATAATGACATGACTCCTTCATTCCATGCAGCGCTGTTTGTTTCTTAAGTCTGCAAAGGTTATATGGGAGGCAGTAGCCAAGGCATACTCACAACAATATGATATGGCAAGGATTTGCCAATTGCATCGTAAAATAGTGAATTTGCAGCGAGGAGAAATAATTGTAGAAGAGTACTTTGGGATACCAAGGCAACAACGGGAAGGATTGGGCCTCTATCAACCTATTAATCCCAAAGTTGATGACATTAAAAACAGTCCGAGCAAAATCAGCAAACTCTTAATCTAGGGTTTCATTATAGCCCTACCTCTAATTTTCTTTTGGGTGGCGTAACACAAATATAGAGGAGAGAGGGTGGCTTGCCTCCCTATGGGGGTAAAGAGGGGGGAGGCACGTGTTTTTAAATTCAAAGAGTGAATAAAAATATGACGTGAGGGAGAGAACTTGGTGCTTGAGAGAGAGACAAAGATCGTGTTTTGTGTTTCAAATAAATTCGAACTAGGTCTTTAAATAAAAGAAAATCTATCTCCCAATTTAAATAGAAATTCCTTAAGTATGCCTTATCTAATTTCTACCTAGACCTTTTAGGATAATTTAAGAAATTTGTAGGGTGAGAGATATTTAATTAGAGCTATCCTTCCCACAAATCAGCTATCATGATTTTGGATGGAAAAATAGGAACCTTATTCCCTTAGATTTTGGTCCAAGTTCCACTCCTATTTAAATTTGAAATGCAATCATACTTAATCATTATTTAGATCTCCCATATTCAAGGATGATCTATATTTTAAAATTCTCACTAGAATAGGAAACCAAATCTTATTTAAAATCAAAATATTTTCTATTTATTTATTAAAAATAGGAACCTTATCCTTTTAGATTTTGACCAAGTCCAACTCCTATTTAAATTTGAAATACAAACTTAAATATTATCTAGATCTCCTATAATCAGGGATGATCTATATTTCAAAACTCTCACTAGAAAAGGAGACCAAATCTTATTTAAAATCAAAAGATTTCCTATTTAAAATAAAATTTGAAACAAGAATGTGGGGTGTGCCCCCTTTTAGCATAAAAAGTGGCGTGTCTCCCCTTTGTCTGAAAAGTGACGTGCCACCTTAGGAGGTCATGTGGGCCCCAACATGGGTGGCACACACGTGGGCGTTGGATCCTTGGTCCCCACATGTGCCTTATCAAGTTATTAACATATCAGAAATACCTTTTTAATGAAAATTACAGCAGAAATAATATTTTAAAATTTTGAAAAAATATTTAAAAATCATAAAAATATTTTTAATACCAAAATAAAATATACTAGGAGTCTCATTTCAGGGGCTAAAAAATAGCAACAATCTGGACACCCCACGCGGTGCATAAACCATGATCGACTACTATTTTCTTACCTAACCCAATAAAAATCCATTACCCACAGTCTCATTTCAGGGGCTCATGATTGGCTTGTTAAAGTTAGACATTAAATAGTGGGATCATGATCCTATGATGTAGATTTCATTTCCCCTTTAAGAGCAAGTCTAGCACTTGTCACCACAATGAAAAGGGGTTCTTTATGTACATGTACACATGTCCTTTTATAGGGATGCTTCTCAATAATACGACCGTCATGTGTACCTGTTGTGCCGAAGTTTGTTGAGGATTTGACCCTTGCTCTCATGGGCCTGCAACCGCACAAAGGAGGCCACATAGTTCTCTTGGCCTACAAACATCATCCCTGAGCACCTCTTCGACTTCAACAAGGAATGACTCACAACCACCCTTCTCAGTAGTGCTGCATGCCTAGGGGTAAGGGTTTTGGACATGGTCAAGGCCATAACTGCCCAACCCTTAGTCAGTTAACACACACATTCCTACTGAAGTGCATATTCAACTATAAAATATGATATTTACAAGCTCTCTAGGCCTTTAGGGGCCACAAAACCGAACAATAAGTGTCCATATTGTATCAAGTGAGGGGCAAGAAACCTTAACCACACAATCGAATCTATCGAGTCTAAGAGATTAGGCCATCAAAGATTTACAACACCAATTGACTGCTCGTAAAGCTTCACTCAGCTTTAAAACGCTGGTGAAGCCGTTTGGTACATATGAAATTGCAAATCATTCTTCCAACTCCACCTCTTCTACATCCTAGATAATTGATTCAAGGACTATTGACCATATGACAGGAAAGAAAGTCAGTGTTTGGTCATTTTCTTGCTTCTAGTGAAGTTAAACTTGCGGATGGATCAATGATTGGTGCCTCTGGGAATGGTACATATAAACTTTCATCACCCTTTTCCTTACCCTCTGTAATACATATGCCTTCTTTTCCTTCGAATCTTCTTTCTGTTAGTAACTTGACAAAACAACTAAATTGCAGTGTCACATTTTACCCCTCTCATTGTCTTTTTCAGAACCTAAACATGAGGAAGACAATTGGTGGTGGTTGTGATGACAATAGGTTGTACCTGTTCAACACAGGATGCACTTTTATTGCTCTTTGCATCGAGTTTCGTAGTCATGAGCAAGTCATCTTGTGGCACCCCTGCTTAGGCCACAATGTCTCTGAAATCTTTGAAGTTGTTGTTTACAGATAAGTTTGTTTCTTTGAATGTTCCTTAGTTACAATGTGAGACTTGTCCTTTTGAATGTTCTTGATGGTTCTTTTCATTTTGAACTTCTCCACCATAAACTTCCTTTGTTTCTCCTCCACCAAAATTTTTTGGTTGTCTGCTTTGTTCATACACTGCGGCCGGCTTGGAACAAATTAGGACCTCAGTCTACCAGATGCATGTTCTTAGGATACTCAAACTCTCATAAAGGATAAAAGTGTTACTATCCGGAAAGTAAAAAACATATGTTTCAAAGGATGCTACCTTCTTTGATAATATACCCTATTTTTCTTCTCAAAGAGATTCGATATCCACTACGCCATTCGACAATCCTGTATCACAGATAGTTCCAATAATCTAACCAAGGTACTGGTGAAATCTATTGAGAAACAACGGAAAGTGCACACCTGGAAAAAGAATAAGGGAAAGACTAATGTAAACGTTCAACTCCAACTCATTGGCTCGTCACGTACTTCTTATCCTCCTACCCTATATCTTTTGGAATTAGTTACCTATTGCCAAAAGAAAAGGAAAACAGAATTGTACTTCTCATCCGATCAGTAAGTTTTTTTCTTATGCTTCATTTTTACCTTCTTTTCATGCTTACATTTGCTTTATTTCGTCTGTTTTAATTCCCACCAAAGTTGCAGATGTATTGGCTCATCTACAGTGGAAAGCAGCCATGCTTGAGGAAATGATTGCCTTTGAGAAGCAGTGAGCTTGAGATGTAACTGATCGGCCAAAAAGGCAACCTGTAGTAGGATGCATGTGGTTTTATACCCTGAGATGGTTCAATTGAGAGATGCAAAGCTTGTCAAGGGGCTAAGGGTTTTGCACAGTTAAAACGGGCTGATTATAAGGACACTTTTGCTACTTTTATCTATTGCAGCAAATAGCAAATGGTCATTCCTCCAACTAGATGTGAAGAATGCTTTTCTCCATGGAGATTTATAAGAGAAAGTGTATATGAAATTACCGTATGGGTTTTATCCTCAGGGGCAGAAAGGGAAGGTGTGCAAGTTGAGGAAAGCTACATATAGATCGAAATGGTAACTTTGAGCTTGGTTCAAGAAGTTCAGTATAGCAATATGTCAATTTGATTTTCAAAGGAGTGTTTCTGATCATTTTGAAGAGTATTGTTCTACCACAATATTGATAGTGTATGTGGATGATATTTGTGCTCATAAGAGATAATGATCATGGAATTAAAAACGTGAAAGAGTTCTCGAGTGTGTTTTTTACTTCAAGGATCTTGGTCCATTGAAATACTTCCTTGGAATAAAGGTGGATAAGTCCAAACAAGGAAATTTTTTGTCTCAAAGGAAATATAATCGTGTTGTCCTCACTGACATAGAAATGCATGGAGGCAGACCAACATAATCTCCTAGAGTTGATCATAAATGTAGCATCGACTGTCAGAGCCTATGAGTAACCCTGGTGTATATTAGAGGTTAGTGGGTAGACTTATTTATCTGATTGTTACATGGGCATACAATGCATATGTTATAAACGTGGCAAGTCAGTTTATGTACTCACCATGCTCGCATCACTTGGAAGCTATTTATCTCATTTTATGATATTTAAAATCTACTCCAGGGAGGGCTACTTTATATCAGTCGTGGTCATCTTGGTGTACAAGGATTCTGCGATGTGGATTGGGCTGAGTGTTCTGTTGATCGACGATCTTCTTGTGGCTACTTTATGATACTGG